CGGGGCGGGCTCAGCCACGGGAGAAGCTGGGCGGGGGCGCGCTTACTCCGGGCTGTGGGCTCGTCTACCGGCGCGTTCACTCTGACCCCGAACGACGACACGCCGCTAAGCCAAGAGTTCCCAGCAGCCCCAAGGCCCCTTGTCCCCCAAACATGGGGGCAAGTTCCTAACCCAGACAGAGTCAGGGCCCAGCATGGGCATATGTGCAAATCCCCAATTTGTATATGTCAAATACATCCGCCAGAGGGCAAGGTGAGGGGGGTCACCCCTGACACCCCCACTTACCCTCCAGCAGTGCCCAGAGCAGCCATCAGGGTACAAGTCTCGGCTAGACATGGTTCCCACACCGGGGGCCAAGGGCTGGACTTGGGGATCTCACAGCCCCTGTCCAAAACCCAGTGGCCCCACAGCCTCTCCTCCCTGCTCCCCAGACCCCCCTCCTGGCCTGTATCCCCCTCCCTCTGGCTCCTGGCGTCTGTGCACTAGGCCCCCCAGATCCCTCCCAGGGCGGGGGTCTGAACTGCCAGCCCCGCCCCTGCTCTCTATATCCCACCGCTCTCCCCTAGCTGGGGAGACCCCAGACAGCCAGAGGCACCGGCCTCCTTTCCCTGAGAAGAAAAGAGAGGCACGAGACAGCAATGGTGAAAAACACACTGTATTGTGGGGGATCCCCCCTTGCACTTTGTCCACTGCCTGGCTCTCCAGCCCTCCCCCCCAACCCCAGGGAATGGGGTACCCTATACCCCACCCTCCCCAAAGCTTCCCAGAGTTTTCCACCTCATCTCAAAACTCCAACGGACCTGTTTTTCCCTCGTCTTCAGGATGGCCGTCTGTCGTAGGAAGTGGCCGTCGTGGCTGGAGGGGCTCACCCTCGTGCCAGTGCCCTCTCCCTTGAGGTGACAGAAGCTAACGGGGGGCTGCAGTTCCTGCCCCCCCAAGTCTCTAGGGTGAAATTCCCCACGGGGGCCATCTCGGCTACCAAGCCGCTATCTTGGTTCACTCGACTTCCTCATCCAGGGTGAGGGCTGTGGTGGCCCGAAGGGGCCTTCTCCATTCACGCCCCCCCCCAAACCACCTTGGAGGTGTGGTGGCCATATTGGTTCCACCTCGATCTCGCTCCTGAGCTGGGGGGTCGCTAATCCCATCTCCATCACCCCATGGCAGCCATCTTGGAGATGTAGCATCCATCTTTGGTGACCTGTTGTTTTTTTTTCCACCTTGGTCGTGGGTCCGTGGGGTGAGCCACACGCTGTTTTCCGTCCCCCCTTCTCCCACGCCTCTCATGGGCCCTCTTAGGTACACGGATGCAGGGCAGCCCTCTCGGCTCACTCATCCTTCTCCACTTTGATCTCAATGAAGGAGCTGAGGTTGGGGCAGAAAGCCTTGTTGCTCGGGGGGTAGGGAGGGGTGCCCGTGTCCCCCTCCTCCTCATGCTCTTGGAAGTGAGGGTCGTAGAGGTGGGGGGGCAGCAGCTGGACCTCAGCTGAGGGCAGCCGCTCTGAGGGCGGCCCATACACCCTATTGGCCTTAGCGCCGTGCTTGGAGTTGATGTCCAGGCGGTAGCAGAGCTGGGTGAGGGGAGCAGCGCGGAAGCGGGGGGGCCGCGCCACCCACACCCCCGGCTCACTGAGGCTGTCCTCCTCGTCTGACATCAGCTCCTCCGTCACCCCCTCCCACAGCCGCTGCTCCTCTGGGCCCAGCAGCCGTGCCACCCCCGAGCGGTTGGCAAAGAGCTGGGGTTGGAGGGACATAAAAGAGCCAGTCAATGTAGTTACCCCCAGAATGTCATCCAACCCCCATCACCCCCGCACTCTGCTGGAGTATCGAGGGCACCCCCTTACCCGGTAGCGCCGGCTCCGTAACTTCTTCTCCTCCTTCTCCTTCAACCCCTTGAAAGGGTTCAAGGAGTTGCGGTATTCCCGCCGCTTGGTGAGGAAGTAGGCCACACAAGCACCTGGGGGGGGCACAGAATGGTCAAAGGTCAACGCAGGACAGAGGTGCTACTCAGTAGGCACAGAGCGGGGTCAAAGGTCAGAGTGCAAGGCAGGAACTCCACCGAGTGGGCACCTGGCAGGGCACCGAGGTCAGGCTGCAGCCCACCACAGAGGGGCCTCACCCTTCAGCTCCTTGTCAGTGTAGTTGTGCTGACTTGTCACCAGCTCCTGCCTCAGTTTCTCCAGCAGGTGGGAGAAGACACGAGGGCGGGAGTCATCCCAGAGCCCCGGTCCTGCCAACACACCCCCAGCACCAAGTGGCTTGAGCAGGAGGCAGGGAGCCAGGGCACCTGGGCTCTTTCCCAGCTCTCAGAAGGGGAATAAGGTCTAGTGGGTTCGAGCAGAGGAGCCAGAAGCCAGGACTCCTGGGTTCTCTCCCCAGCGCCGGGAAAGAGCGTGGAGTCCAGTGGATTAGCACAGGACTCCTGGGTCCACGGGAGTGACCTCACCTCTCAGAGCCGTTGAATCTCTTCTCGTTGGTGATGTGGTTGTGAACATTATGGACAAGCTTCTGTGGGGACAGAAACTGTGGTGACGGGACCCCCCCCAGCACCCCTGCCCCGCCTCCAACCAGCCCTGGAGGCCCCAGCTTACCGACAGCACCAGGTCCCTCTTGCGCCTGGCGTTCTTGGGCCCATTGCCCCGGCTCCGGCAAGGGACACTGGCAAAGCCCAGTGAGAACCGGGGTTCACCCCGGCTGGCAACCTCAAAGGCAGCACTGTGGGGCAGCTCCTCGGAGTAGGAGGGCGAGGGTGAGGGCTCCCCCATCAGCTGGGCGGGAGGGGAGGGGGCGACAGAGTAGGTTGGCACCACTGCTCGCTGTGGGGGCACATCTGAAGGAGGCAGGTCATCCAGCACCTGGGAGAAAGACAGGGAGAGATCAGCCCTGCTGACACCACTCAACCCTGCGCTATCCCAGCCCCCCCTGCCCCAACGCCATGCAGCCCCTGAGCCAAGCTGCGGTTGGCGTGACTCCCAGAATGCATCTCTGCTGTCCTGAGCAGCTCTTTGGCAGGGAGGCAAGAGCAGCCATCAAATATGCATGATCCATCTGCGCCTGGTCAGAGGCCAAGATGGAGCTTCATTTCCCCCTCACTTACCCCACTGAGACTGCCGTCTGCAGGCTGCGTGGGCGAGAAAGCCAGGCGTCCAGGTGGCCCTGCTGCCGCCCCCAGCTGCCTCAACTCCTCGATCACCACTTGGACGCCGTTTCGCAGGCCTTCAGCCTCCTCCTCCTCCTCCTCCTCATCCTCCAGGAGCTCCTCGGGGGCTGGTGTGGGGCTGGCTTTGACAGCAGCAGGGGCTCCTCTCCTTAGTGCCCCCACTTCCTCCTCTAGGCGCCTCAAGGCCTCGTTGTTGGCCTTGGCCAAAGCCAGGGCTGCCTCTGCCAGCCCCACCGCCTTGTCCACACGCTGGTAGATGACATGGAGGAGCTGCTCCGAGTTCTGCACTGCCAGGCCGTGACCAGAGACGGTGATGGGGGTGCAGGGGGGTGGCGGGCCCCCTGAGCCCGCCTCCACCCCCGGCTCCTTCTTGCAAGTGCAGCAGCAGCACTTGGCCTCGTTGGCATTGGGAGGCGAGAACAAGATGGTGGCACTGAACGACATGGCGCAAAGGAGCTCCTCAGCTAATGCTCCACATGTGGGCAAACCCGGACCTGGTGCCTCCTGGGAGAGGCCTGCGAAGAGAGATGGGAGGCCATGGCGCTGCCAGAAGGAAGGTGGCACTGGGGTGTTTGAGCTGGGGTTAAGGAAGGCAAGGAGCTCCAGACAACCTGCAACAAAGGGCAAACCGGGACTGCGGGGCAGGTCGCGAAGGGACTGGAGCTAGCCAGACCCGTGAGACACCTGTCATGGCAGGCCGGGGGTCAGCCTATTTAAGGGGCAGTCATGAAGCAGGGCTGGCAAGATAAAGGGCTGAATAAACCCGGGGGACAGCACAACCCAGGGGTCGCCATGACCCAGGCCCTTGTCAAGACCTGGGTGTGACCCAGCATTGCCTGGCATGGGATAGTGGTGGGCTCCAGTAGGGCCGGAGGAGGATTGCAAGGGGGCCAGGCCAAGGTGATCTGAAGGCGGGCAGTTGCAGGGTAGCAGGCAGCTGGTGGGACTGGCAACAGGGCATTGGTGTGACCAAGGCCACGTGACCATAGGGGTTGATGCGACCCCAGAGCAGGAAACCACAGCACAGGCTGGGGGGGGGGGGGGGGGCGCGGGAGGGGTGGGGGGGGGGGGGTCGTGCCATAACACAGGGGCTGTGGCTGTTTTTAGTTCCCCGTGCGCTTCATAGAAGCAAAAACCTCATTTTCATATATGCTAATGCGCGCCCGCGCGGGGGCCAACAGCTCGGAATACCGCGCTCCCTAACGTTCCATGCCGCGTGTGCAGCGCGCGCCGCGGGGGGGTGGGAAGGGATGCGGGCACCGCGGCCGTGTACAAAGCCCCCCCCCCCTCTCCCCCCCGCGCACCCATTGGCCAGCGCCTCAGGAGCCGGGTGAAGCCGATTGGCTGGAGCGGGCTGTTGCTCAGCAGGCCCTGGAGGGAGGGGGAGGAAGGAGTGAGCCAAGAGGAGGGAGGGGCGGGGCCCCTGCCAGGGGGGACGTCGAGGCCGGGCCTTTTTCACGGCCATCTGGCAGCCATCTTGGATGGCAGGGCTGCCCGACGGCTCAGTGACCTCCAGGCCTGGCCTGTACCAGCCCCTGCCCTGGTTCAGTCAGGCGAGGACACGCCAACCCCATCCTGCCAACCTGTGCCCTGCTTTCCATCATGCCCTGCCAGTCCCACACTACCAATCCTTCCCCCGCACCCGCACACACCAACCCCTGTCCTCCATCACCAGGCCACACTGGTCTGAACACAGCCATATCTCCCCATCGCATCCGCTCCGGTGCCCCAGAGACCCTCATGCCAGCATCTGCCATGCCCGTGCCAGCCTGGCCCCTCGTACCGCTGACCTGCGCAAGTCACGCCAAACCCGCTTGTTATCTATCACCTTCCATGGTTTTCCCTTTACAAGCCACACACTCAACGCCTGCTGCCCCTTTACTCCTAGCAACCCTCCCGCTAGCCTCTGCCATGACCACACACCCTGGCCCGTCTTGCCCCTGACATCCACAGGCTCTGCCAACCCTACTCCTTGTTAACACCCTCCATAGCCTCCTGTTAGCAGGCACAGCAGTCCAATCGTGGCCACACGCTCCCACCACACTGACCCCTTTACCCCAGTGACCCTCATGCCAGCTTCCACCATGACCATGCCATCCTGGCCCAGTCTTGCCCCCAGCCTCTCAGGGTCACACCAGCCAGATCTCAGCTGCCACATCTCTCCACCATGCCATTGTGTGAGGCTTATGGAAGAAACAGCCCCATTGTGGACCAGCAGGCCTGGGGGCGGGCAGTCATCACCCCCTGCCTGATTCAGGGTAATTTTTCACAGGCTCCAAAATATTCCCCCAGCTGCTAAGACCCATGCAAGGGAGCCAGAAAAACGCAGATCCCAGCCAGGATCATACTAGCTGTTGGTCCTATGGCACTCAGTCTGCCCCACAGCCATCCATCTGTCCCGACTTACCTCTCTATCCATCCCTGCACACTCCTTCACCCACCCACCAGTCCACTCCACCCATCCAAGGCCTCTTCCACATACTGGTCTATCCACCCATCCCTATCCCCCATACACCCATTCATCTATCCATCCATCTACACACTTCTCTGCTAATCCCCCTGTATTTCCAGATGCATCCCTTCGTCCATCCACACGGGTAACCCTCTCTCAAGACATCCCTGCTGTCTTATCTCCATGTCCCTTCCTCACTCTGTCCATCCAAATACAACCCCTGTGTGTCCACATACGCTTGCATCTCCCCATCCACTCATCCCTCAGAGGGTTTCCTATCTCTGCTCATCCTCATGTCCATCTGTCTTCTATCCCTCCGTCACACCCACACCACCCACGCTTCCCCCCCCTTGTTGTACACGCACCCCCCCCCAACCTCTCTGTGGCCCCAGGCAGGGCAGAACTGGGGGGGCAGGGGCAGAAGGGGCCGCCCCCCACCCCCACGCCCCTGGGTAAAGGATACGGGAAGGTCGCGCGGGTGCCTCTTTGTATTCGTGTGGCCGTGTGTGCACAAGGGGGGGGGCTAGGCCCCCGCGCTCTGCCCCACCCCCGCCTGCTCCCATTGGCCGAGGCCGTGGCACGCGGGCACACACACGCAAGCACACGCCCCAGCTGCACACGCATTCCTGAGCAGGGCCCTGCCAGGGGGCCCTGCGTCAGGCCCACGCCATAGCACAACTTCTACCCAGGCTCCAGCCAGGGCCTTCCCCCTACCTGCCCCATACACCCCCAGCCAGGCCTGC